TTAAGACTTGTGTATAAAGTAATCCAGAATGGAACATAAGTTATACTTCATAAGTATTAGCCAGCCCAGGTTTACTGAGAAGTCATCAGGATCACAGACTCCCACCCCTCATTACAGCCCCATCCCATCATAATTTCACTTCTGAATACCAGTCTCCAACACGTGTAACATAACACCCTCAATAATTTGAGGCATTAAAAACTATTTTCTTATCAATAAAATAACTGGGCTGGGGGGGTGGGGGGGAAGCAGAATCAAAGGACAGCATACTACATAAAAATCGGACTCTCCCTTCCATTCAAAAAAATTTACTACCCATATACAAATTGCTACAGAACTTGAAAATACATTCTAACATGACATTGAATATCCATTGAAACTTTAAGAGTATTCTAGAACCAACTCCTCGCCCTTTCTAAAAAGTACAAAAAGCTCATTTCTGATCATTTTTCAAATTTGAGTCAATTTTTTCAGCAGTGTGAGTGTTGTGGTCTAACCCCAGCTAGCAATGATGCTTTACGAATTTCAGTCAAGGGAATTTCTCCTACTTGGACGGTGAAGATAAATGAACCAGGCTGAGCTGATCTAACCTAAACTTGCTAGTGGAAAAGAAGGGCAGGACCTACCACCTTTCCACAGAACTCTGGTCCAAGCTGCATACTCCCTTCACCTGCTCTGCACCAGGCACCAGCTCTTCCGCTCTTCATACTCAGGGTACAAACAACTCTCCTAATCTGGCAGAAGTCAAGTCTGCAGAAAAGTTTTCTGTCAAATTAGCTAATAAAATCAGTTCATTAAATGATCAGCCACGCAACAGAGTACAGCACATGAGAAGGGGTAGCTCTGCATTGACACAAGTCAAACAGAAGGGAAAGTCCTCTTTACGCTGGAAGCAGTTGAGTATTACACTTTTAGCTTTCTGCACCCTTACGCCTTCAAGCTCATTCTGTAATGTATCTAAACTAGAAATCTTCTAAAGTGTTGCAATATCACATTAAAAAGGGAGATTTTTCAAACCAAAACAATCATCGAAGAACTTTTGTATGAATTTTTTATTTCATTTCTGTCAAGTTTGGCTGCAATCTGGTTTTGAGCATACTGAAACTCCAGGATGTTGTCAGGTATGCTAAAGGACTCAATACCATATGTGGTTTGCAAGTATCTTACCACTTTTTTTTTTTTTAAAACTCAAGTCTGTCAAATCTTATATTCAGCATTTTTATACTGTAAAAGGTTACTGTACATAGCCACTGGCCATTATGCTTACATTAGTCATTCAGTTTGTGAATAAAGTCCTATACACATGCAGAAACATTAAAACTAGCTCCACGCAGGCCAGATAGGGTCACTGGGGCTACTTAGGGTTATTGGGGCTACTTAGCTACGCTCAAGCACCAGGTAAACATGGCTGAAGCTTTGAAAGACCAAATGCACTTCAACAACATCATAGGCAAGTAAGAAGCCCCAGCAAATGCTTGATGTAAAAACAAAGCAAAAGCATTTGGGATCGTTCAAAGAGAGACAAAGTGGGTCTAAAAGCATCATCATCACCTCATGAAAGAGAAAGGTACGTATGACAAATCCTCTGTTCCCTTTAATAATCAAAAGTATGTGATAATGATCAAAGATGATTAATACATAGAGCCATTATTGTTTTAATGTATTGTCAGAAGATATCCAGGTCTGAGTTGTGCAAGAAAGTAACCATCTAACTACTAAGGCAACGAATGTTATCCCAGTGGTTGGCCCCTCCAACTCCCAAGAAGGCAGCAAGTTGGATCGGGACTACAAACTGCCAGCTGAATAGCTCTGAGCTACAGTAACCATAATATTTTTGTTAGTCATGTCTTATGAGGAACATAAGGAACATCTTGCCACCATTCTCTTGGTGTTGCTGTGACAACAGACTGCAATGCTAAATAACTGTGATGATACCTTCAAAGTCATTTGTGCATTACAATACCCTTCTAGGGGCTTGTGCTCAACTGCACTAAACAGTCAATTCCAATCTTTCAACCTGAATTTGCCCACCTCTCATCCCCAGAAGGATGACTTTACTCTGGAAATGTTTCCACGCATCTACAAAATCACATACACAATATCTGACTACAATAATAAAAACCTAGCAGAAGTGTCAACGTCTTCCAGAATTACTGTAGCCTACACAGCACTTAATACTTTGCAGGGATGCATAGCAGTTAAAAAAGAACTTGCTCTCCTCTGAAAGAATCAGCTAACCTGGAAAGCAGTAATTAAACTTTATCACCTAGGAAAGAGGTGATTTCTATTTATTTAATGATACCATATCCATTCATGCTGGTAGAGCAAAAGGAAAAGTATTACCAGAAGCATGCTTTAGTCTTTCATCTGTAGTTATCCACTTTTGACTACTGGAGTTTGCTGGATTACACCACTGCTGTAGACAGCAGTGATCTCTGATCTAAAATAATGTCCATTTGATTTACAGAAAGAACTTTTATGTACAACAACAGCCCTCTCACCTTCCTCTGACTAGAACAAATTTTAATTAAGTGTGAAAAAAATATGGGAAACTACAAGCAACAGAACTTCTCATTATCTAACTCATTCGGCTTTTTGAAAAGCCCTGGGAACATATGATCATTGCCTAATATTCCTCTTGCATCATTTTAACTACAGCCTTAAACACAAAAGGAAATGAGAGACCTGAATTAACTATCCTCTTTTCAAGTGTAAAAACTTCTAAGTAGCATCACAAAGGAGAGATTAATCCCTAAACTAGCTGAAACAGTTACGTTTTCATAAAGCAAGGTTTTCCATTATATTTATTAAGCATATAACTTAATAAAAGACTTGCCCTGACTGTTTCAGCTCTTTGTAGCATGAAAATGTAAAGTCTTTTCCCTTATGTACTCATTCTAATATTATTCGTAAGACATCAGAGAAGCCATGTTTGTGGCAAAGGTCTTTGGCAAAAAAACACATCATATATTTTAATAATTTTTTTCTTGTAATAATTTTTGCAAATATAACAACCATTTTGGATAAATGAAAATAGGTGTGAGGTTTTAAAAATATTATAATGAATGCAAGCATACCTTAACATGCACAGAGTATAAGCAGCACAATCCTTTTTAATTCCGCATTTTAGATGGTTTTCAAGTGGTTGGATGCTCACAAAGGGGCAGGATCATGTAGCTGCACTGGAGAAAGCATGACCTCCTTTCTCATAAGCAACTGGCTTTTAGATTCATTCAGCCACAGTGTCATTTCATCTTAACTGGCAAAATATCTTTACCATTGTCAGTCATTGTTATTGCAGTATTAATAGCCCTATTCAGCCAACAGCTGAATGAGTTCACAGTACTTCACTATTTCAGGCTATATATATACCTTGCACATTACCAGCATCAAAAGAGATTTCATCAGTTACATTTTGAAAGCGTCTACTTCTGAATTTATACATATTTCTAGTCCACAAGTATGACCTCATCTTAACCTTTAAAAAATAAACTTTCATGCTAAGAAAAGGTTTGCACAAGCTGATTTCTCAGTTGCATAATTATGAGGTTAGTGATAAATTTCCTAAATGTGTCATTTTTTAAGTTTCTACATTTAAGACCCCATTTGACAGGAGGGCTTTAAAGAAGTTCCTAATAATTTTTCTTCTCTCCTCCCCCAGTCTATGCCTTTAAAATACAGAAATAAGTCATATATAGAAACCTCACATAGTGCATCTTACCTTTTTACCCATAGTTAGAAAAGGAAAATCCAGAGAAAACCTGATCTTCAAGGTCATTATCTTATTGGCAACTCATAGTAAACTCAGATATTTTTATTCTATAACTATTGTACTGACAGTACTTTAGAGATTTCTGTAGTGCATTATAAAGTGATGAAAACTGTGTCACTAAAAAAGTTAGAATACAAGCACCACAATCTGTCAACTAGGATAGAAGTTCTAGCATCCGTTAACTGAGACAGTACAGTGGGGAATAAATAAGCAAAAACTAACCACTTGTGTATTTAAATATTCTCAGAAATAGAACATAACTAGCATCCTTAAAAATCAGCTAGGATAAATTAATTTTCTAGTTTTTCTACTGTTCACATCAATCCACTCTTTATTAGCCAGACCTTCTCCTCTATGAATCCATTCAACCAAGTTCTTCTAGTACTATTCACAAGTTTACCTACCTAATTGTTTACAAAGTCCTTTAAGAAACGGTTGAAGTGATGCCACCATTCTCACACTTATCATTAAGAGGTACAAAGTACAAGAGGTTAGCTTTGCTAACTATATAATTCACTGTGAACCATCTGGTCATAATGCTCCTAATGCCCCACCTCCTCCCCATTAATCCCCATACACCTTCTTTCTTCCAAGCATCTTCACTTGGGCAGCAATATCAAAGTTCCATTTTTTGCTCATCGTCCAAAATTTGTCTTCTACTCTGTTTCTCTTGAAAAACATCACATAAGGCACTGTACAGAATATTTAACAAATGCACTTTTCCATCTAGTTTCAGAGCCCACTGCAAGCAGTTACACTCATGCCTCAGGAAATTATCAAAATAAAGAGACACGGAAGAATACAGAAGGCAGAAGCTAGGATCTCTAGTTTGCCACTAATAAAACCAGAACCAAAAACACATCTAAAACATTTGACTCTAAATAGAAATAATTTTGTCAAGCACCACTGTAGCATCAACATGGATTTGCAAAACCACAAAGTGCACAGATATCTAAAATTTCTAATTGTAGCACATTTGAGAAAGTACTTTCAAGTCCTGAAAACCCATAGTAAAATACCTATTCAAAGTCAGAAGTCATGAAATGACATTCAAATGTTTAAGCAAAGACCATAAAATCTACTAACTAAAAATAACTCATCCAGGTTATATTATTTCTTGCTGATTAGCTGGCTTCCACATACAGCATTATCTTGGAAAAAAAAAGCCAGTGGTACGGCATCATGGTACTTAAGTTTAGATTACTGGTTGAATTCAAAGAGGACATACCCACTGCTGGTGCATCATATTCATCCCCAAGTAAAATTTCAGGAGCAGAATATGCAAGAGATCCACAGCTTGTGGTGAGCTTCTTTCCAGGCTGAAATTTGTTGCTGAAGCCAAAATCAGTCAATTTCACAAGTCCTTGTTTCTCAAAGAAAACCACATTCTCTGGTTTTAAGTCTCTATGAACTACGTGCAGTTTATGGCAGTAGGATATAGCATGAACGATCTGAGCAAAGTATTTTTTTGCCAGCTCCTCATTCAGCCCTTCTTCATGCTTCATGATGTAATCAAACATATCTCCTCCATCTCCTAGCTCTAAGATAAGATAAAGCTTAGTCTGGGTGTCAATCACTTCATACAGCCGTACAATATTGGGATGCTGCACTAGTTTCATGCATCGAACTTCTTGAAAAAGATGTCCGGTGGCCAGAGTGTCCAGTTTGGTCTTGTCAATTACTTTTACTGCTACTTTTTCACCTGTAAAGACATGCCGAGCAAGTTTGACAACAGCAAAATGGCCTCTTCCCAAAGTTTTATCCAAGTCATACAATCCTGCAATTTTTCCATCATATCCTCGTTTGAAGCCTGCCATTCTGTTTCAGAAGGTGAAATTATATTTAAGCTCTTTGGAAATGTGATCTTTTCATATAAGAGTGTCTGATGCAAATAAATAGTCCATTGTCACTGCCAAGCATACCTAAAATATAAAGAGACAAGATTACATATTCATATAAAAATGAGCAAAATTATTATCCTGTAATTGTCCTAAATGAGGATTCTGGAATTGGCACATTGTTACAGATTACTCATGAAATTCTTCAGGGGTTTTTGCAAAGGATTTGAAAAGCCATGCTGTGGCAACCAACAGATTTCTGACACCACATTATCAGTGTGCTGGAAGAAAGGGAATTTCAACAGTGAAAATTTCAATAATGAATGAATGAGAATTGCAACAATGAATTTCAACAATGAAAATTTCTCTGAAACCCAGTGGCCTTTATATTCTGGAGTTCAAAACCTTGCCAGCAACACTTGAAGAAATCTGTGTTCTAAGCACTGCTAAAATTGGCAAAGCTGAAATTTGTAACTTTTCCAACTACATTAAAAGTGAGCTGAGGAGCACAGAATATTGACAAGAGAAACATTTGATTTATCTTATATTTTGGCCTATTCCTTCACATTGCAGCATGAAATGGCTCCAATACATCTTTCTGATGGCATGAGTTTGGACTTTTTTTTTAAACCTTCTGCCTTTTAACAACTTGCTGCTTAGCAAAGCTCAGATGGTCATACAACACTTAATTTTGTTCCTATAAGTATAAGCGTTATCAGTCAATCCTGAATTGCAAGAAATGAACAAAGCTTTACAGGCTGAAATGAAACATTTGGGTAGAGCGCATTCTTAATGCTAAATAAAATGTCTTGTTAAATATTTTGACTGGAGTTACAAAAACTGGTGATAAAAAGTTTGCATGTAGGCTGCATATGTTCAGCAGTCCTAGGAATGACTCAGGAGAAGAGGAAGAAGAGTAGGAATGAAGGGGAGAGAACTCAAGAGTTCAGCTTATTTGTGCTGAACTCCTGCTTACCAGTTCATTTGGCATTTAAGCAAACAAGATCCAACTTACAAAACGTTCATATTCAAACCTGGTTTTGAAGGTCTTATGTCCCATTGCCATTTTTTTTTCCACACACAAAACCTCCCAAAAACTTCTCTTCCATCTTTAACTTATATTCAGGTTTAAATAAAAATCTGTAGCTGTCAAAAAGCTAACCACTTCTCCCACTTTGAGTGCAAAGTAGCTAAAAATATGGAAATTAGGTGGTTTGTTGCCAACTCAACAAAATACAGAAAACATAGCTCTTTAGAATGTATTTTCTCAGTTTCAAAACTGAACTTCAAAAAGAAAATCTTTGAAAAGGAAACTGGCAAACAAACAACCCCTTACATTAGTTATTCTCAAGTCAAAATGTAAGCATTAGATTAAAAACACTCCCTGCTAAACAAGTTATTTCACAGGCAGTGAAACTAATGAAGCTGGTTTCATATGGATTCAATTACAAGGTTGGGGGTCCTATGAAGATTCTCTGATGTTTAACAAGCTCACCTTACTGCTTCTCTCAGCTGGAGCCATGGTATAACCTCTTCTCTATCCAGCTGTCTTACTTGCACAAAGTCCATGGGAATTCAGTTTGAGAGCTCCACCCCTGTAAAATTTGAATGAAATCAATCAACTTCTGAAACCTCACAACCGAGGCAAGGAACAGGGTAGGTGTTAATATAAACATTGGGGTATGAGTTTTTGTTTTGCTTTAAAGATAATAATCAAGCCTTAAAAAGAACTCCATTGGGTTTTGTATTACGGTACCCTTTCATTCTGTAACTAAGCACTACACCTCAGGTGCTCTTCCAAAACCCACTCCCCTTCACTAGAAAGTGCCATAGTATCAAAATTGCCATTGACATATCTGTTTCCAACACATTCCATACTGCTCATATTACAAAATTTCCCTTACTGCTCACAGTTAACCATGTAATACCATCCCATCCTTATTCCAGAAAGTACAAAACTAGATTAGACCATGCTACATTAAACCAAACACCCATGTGAAACACTCGGGAAGTAACCATCAGAGGATGCCTGGGGAAGAACATAGTACAATGGCAAACGTAATGCAATAAATAATGAAGCCCTCATTATCTTTGAGAGATTCAAAAACTTCTTTACATCAGAGGGCAGTGTCTTTGTGTTTAATAATGCTTCATGGATTCCACCTCACTCCTCCCTGTGAAACCAGGCAGGTGCTTTATTAAGGCATGCGAATTTTTAGTATAAGAACATCCTGCAACAAGGAGTTTAATAGCTTAACTATGGGCTGTGAGAAGAACCACTTCCTCTTGTTTGTTTTAAATCTGATAATTTGTGCATCTTCTCATTCACCGTCTGTTCCAAAACAAGAACGAGCATACTCTATTTACCTTGCCTCAAGCAACTCACAGTTTTAGCTTCCTTCCTAGCTTCAGTTTAGTCTTGTTCAAGTCCTAGTCTGTCGCTCATTTTAGAGGTTATTCCACAGGCTTTAGCATTCTTCTCACATTTCTCTACACATTTTCTAGTTTCTACTTTCTTAGGCCAACTTGTGGGCTGTTTTGTTTTTTTACTATTACTGAGCACTGACATAATGTTTTCATACAATGCTTTGTTACAGTTGTACTATATTCTATCAATACTGAACTAACCCCCAAAATACAGGCTAATGAAAAATAGTCTGTGTACACACAAACCACCTAACCTTAACCTGTATGAGGCAACAGGGGAGATATCAACCAGCTGTGTCCCATATGGTTGTGCAACTCCAGAGCCTCAATCCTAAAAGGATTGCAGGCATCTTAAAAAAAACAACACACACACAAAAAAAACAAACAAAAAACCATCCCACACAAACATACTTTATAGAACTGCTATCTCCACAGCACCCTAACCAGATTCTTCACTGCTTCTAAAGAAAAAAAAAAAAAAGGAAAAAAAGAGCACACACTTAAAAAGCCAACTTTTTTTAACTGTCATTAGGACATCACCCCTCCTTACAGATCTGTTTTATCCATAATGCATCCTGTAGTCAATACCTTATGCTAAACTAAAGTTTTAGAATCCTTACATTGAAAACCTTAAAAGTTGCATTAAAAAAACCCCACAAACAGCCAGCCACTCCTTATGCAGTTGGAGTTACCAACAAGATACTCAGTTGGTCAAGTTTTTATGGACCATTTCTTTCCTGCATGTTACGACAAACCTCAAGATTTACATCTCTATTCACACAGATTCATCACATCCTACAAATCTGGCCCAGATCATGAAACACCTTTACTCTTTGAGGAGGAGAGGTGGCTTTAAGAAATTTTCTGTTGTATCTTAGATTCATAAACACCACCTGCACAAAAGACAGAGCTTTCTTAGCATACTGCAAAACCACAGTTTTGTTACTCAAGAGGCAAGGAAGATGGAAGTAAAAAAATCCTTAGTCAATTTTGACTTAGTTTTTCTTCTTAAAATTCAAGAAGGTTCCATGCCTGGCAGAGCAAAAGGGAGACAGCAAACCCAGCCAGATGTAACAGAATGTAACTCGTCTGAATTTAAGTAACTACAACACTCAGCAGTAAGGAAAGATTTATACATAATTATTTTGTTCACTTGGCACATTCTCAACCATCTTTGTACAAACTCAACAAGTGATTTGTCTCTAAATGACAGAATACACAACCAACCTGTCAACAAAATTCCAGCAAAAAGATCAGTTATGCTTAAGCCATGAAGAAATACATCAGGCAGTAATCAATAGGATAAATGCTTACAGAAACGGAAGATAAGCTACACTTACTAATGTTGCAGTCCCATTAGCTGAAATAAAATTAATGCGGATTCTTTAGCAGTTTAACATAAAGTTTCCACAGTAGCAGACTAACAAACTTTTAATTCTGTGGTTTTAAAATCAATCTCCAAAGATGAAGATCCCACAGCTAAACACAAGGATCTTGGACATACACACAGCTGGAAGTCAACACGCCAAAATTAAGAATTGTTTAGTAAGAAATGGATGCAAAACTGTCATAGTGCATATAGATACAAACATCAATTACAATTTAAACATGCTGCCTAAAGGATCACAGTTGCTATACCAATACATTCCAGAGAAGTAATTTATATCAATTTCTCTCAAGACTAGGAATTTTGAAAGCACTTAAAGATCAACTAAGAATGCAGTCTCACAAATTACCAGCCTTTAGCTGAACACTCTTTATGAGCATTTCTTTGCAGATGCCTCCTTAGATACATCAGTAAAACTTTTGGGGCTAACTATAACTGGAAGAACCCCAAACGTCCAGATTTAATACATCTACTACCATCACACTCCAAAATAGGTTTAATTTTAATGACAGATCATTTCTGTAATACAATTCAGTAATCCAATGTGACTTCTTGAATATTTTTCGCCAAATGAAGGAGCTGCAAACTACAGTACAGGACAATCAAAATTTCAACCAGCCATACTTTGTCAGCGAGCCAAACTACAACCTGAGCAAAACAGTTTGAGAGTTCTATCACAGAAAATATTTACCTGTCTTTCCTTTCACTCACATTATCTGAAGTTTTTTACAAGTTCATTTTTCAGCATTAGAAAGCTTGGGTTTTCTAGTTGCCGAGTTTACTAACCATTAGCAGCATTTAATCCACGTGGCTAATTGCAGCTTTAAAAATGCAGTTTTCCCTAACTATATCAGAATTCAGCTATGCCTCCAATGCTCATTTTATGCAATGCAGACATTTACCAGTAAATAGATTCAAAACAGATCCTTCCTTCTATAGAAGTACACGTATCCTATCCAACAAAATACTGCAAACAGCCCCTGTAATGGAGATCTGCAGGAGCTGTTTTGTAATGTCACATGCATCCTATTAAGCAGCTTAACAACAGCACTGTGATTCAAACATCTCTAAAAGATGGATGACTAGATCTCTCAAAGATCTGTTTTGAAAAACAGCATGTTTCAGAGACAGTTTTTTCTTTAAGCAATTAATCCTGTCCAAAAAGTTTCATTAGATTATACATTACATATAAGACCAGCCTATTTCATCTTATATTAATGTGCATCAGCTTCTTAATTTAGAAAATGATGATTCAAGGTCCCATTTCAAAAAAGTGTTATAATACTACCAGTGTAAAAACTTCCTTGCATTACCATGCCAACAGACATGAAAGCTGAAGTAATCTTCACTGGGACTCACTGGTCCACAGACAGCTAAGCATTCCTGTCTCCCTTCACAATAAACGGGGATTCAGTCAACACAGATAAGAACCTACGATAAAACAAATTGCACCCTAAAGCAGATAGCCAAACAGATCAAATGAATCATTTCTTAAAAGCACACATTTTCATTTTCTGTAACAGGAGTTTTAGGATGACTAGTTCAGAGGATGTACAGAGTACATACATCCACAAGACAGATTAAATAAGTTTCACTCTGTTTCTCCTTTTGCTCTCTTTTGTCTCAGATGAAGAACAGCACCTACACCAATTATTTACTACATAATTATATGTTGAGAGCAAGACTTGTGTTGCTAGTCTTCTTAGAAACAGTAAACCAAAAAACTGATCACAGATCCAGAAACCAGGCTTTTTTATGCTGAAAGCAACTGGTACAAATCATTAGAATCTGAGGAAACTGGAGGAAATATCAACTCTGCACACAAACAGTGCAAGTATACTTTTTCACCTTTTTCTCCACTATTTACTATCAATTTTTATCTGCTATCCTACTGTAAGATACCTTTGCAGCCTAATCCACGAGCCTTTAAAACAATTCATCTTTGTTTTCATGTGAGCCACTACTTACATGTGATGATGCTACACCTTCACCCATGTGTCAATCTGCTTTCCCCAAGAGGGTTTTTGATCACCTTTCCTTTTTATATAAGGGAGAGCCAACATGCTAGAGACAGGTGCAAGATGTTTCAAGTGAAGAACATACACACTTAATGCATAGCACATGCTCTGAAAACTAGTCATGACTCAACTCCTCCAGAGTATTTGAAACCTTTAAAGCCTCATACTACCCAATATTCCTCGAATATTCAAGGAAAAATATGGGACTTAAGAACCCAAGAACCTGTATTCTCCCTTTGCTTCCACACACGGGTGTCACAGTCCAAAGCCCTATGCCACCTTTTCCTGTGACCTCAGACTTCACAACTCCCATTCAAAGGTACTCCAGGAAGCGACAGCTATCTGTTCTTGCCCTACAGCCAAACTCTTTGCAGATGCAGCATTCTTGGCAGGTGGGAGCAGTGGTGTTACAACTCAGCCTTTGTATATACAATGGTATCTAATGCTTTATTTTCCACTTTGCATGACTGCACCACAGCATACATGCATATCTTTCCCTTCACCAGTGACAAATCCCATAAACTCTCCTGTGCTTGACAGTTTCACAATAACACACTACAGTAGATTTTTCAAGGTGTACATGCACTTTTAGTTTCACATTAGGCCTGTCATCTGCTCGTGTCAGGATCCACTTCATACTGTGTTACTAAAATGTCAATATGTATCAGCAAATCTCTCTACCATTCAGCATAGCTACACCTAAAATGATCAAAGTAAGAGTTATCAAGTAGTAACCAAAAAATTAACCTGCACAATGTAATAG